GGATGAGAATTAGGGTTTTTTTTTTTTAAAAGGAAATTGATGAGAATAGAGGTAATGAGTAATCCGTAATTGTAGCGACTAGTAGTGACCAATGGTAGAAGGACACAAGAGGGAAGTGGTTGGGGAAAGAAAAGATGTTTATATAGGTGCCTATTTTGTGACAAAGCCGAAACTATCAAATCGATGTTGCTGGAAGGCCACAGCATACAATGTTAGTGAACAACACATCTTTGGAAAACAAGTTTAGAGATATGGGCAGAGTACTCACCACAGACAATAATTTTGCCATCGACGAAAGCAGCACCTACAGAGCATCGAGCACTGTTCATCTGTGCCAGCGGAGTTCGCGAACTGTTTAACAAAGACAACAATCTGCAAATAAAACGTGCTATCCGTCTAAATAAGCAAAAAAAAAAATTATGAGTAAAATTACGAATAATCGAAATTTTACAATTATTAATTGAAAAACTCACATCACAAAAACCTAAAAGCAATAATTATTCGCGATGATATACAGTTCTCATTGCAAACAGCAATAGTGAAATGAATGAAATGCTGTGGAATGATAAGTAACGGCCATTAGAAGGCTAAATCAGGAGTGGACGATCCAAGTAGGGCGACCGAACTGGATTAAATTGAAAAAAAAAATTTTTTTAGCGGCCGTTGATAGGTCAATTTTTGAAGTAACGGCTAGTCCGAGCCGTGGAAAATGTGAAACAGCCAAAATCCCCAAATTCCCCGAATTTTAATTAAAAAAAAACAAGGAAGCAGAACTGAAAATTAACGCAATACGAAAACAAAGGAGATGTCAAGTGTCCAAAAGCCAGCGGCAAGATTGCAGACAAAAATCGCTGTCTTGGAAAATATTACTAACAGTTACGTCTATATCGATCAGAAAATAAACATTTCTCCGCAATCCCGGTCTGAATACGCCCAAGAAGAACACATTTTCCTCACGTGACAAATATTTCATAAAAAACCTCTAAAAATTACTCATTTTCTGTGCCTGCCAAAAAGAAGGAACGCTCAAACCTCGGCTCTACTTGTTCGCCCACAATCGAATGTTGTTGCGGAGAATGCGACTTTGGTGAAACTTTGGCATCCTGTGCTTTCACGACATTCTCGGCTTCGGATAATTGGAAACTGAACGCAACCAAACGCCCATGGAATACTGTTAGTGCGATCCAGAAATCTCCTGTATGCAATTTTCTTTAAAATTGAATTTTTTACAAAAATAATGTAAACCCATTTTACAAAAAACTCTTTTGGTTTTGATAAAAAACTATTTCCAGAACTTCTTGAATTACCGAGGCAGTCTAAAATTTGTACCACACAATTAAATTTCAAGCAGTTTTTGCTCCCTGATGGTGGGCAGTGGTATGTGGCACACGGTAGCTTCTACGAATGATAACGGCTGAGATAAACTGCTTTTAATCAAAATGAACGCAAAGATGGAAAAATTTTGCAAGGACTCACTAGCCGTTTGCGAAACAGCGATAACTTTATAGGAGGCCTCATCAGATGAGGAGCTTGAGCCCAGGGAGCTGTTACTATCCGCAGAGGATAATCTCGTATTACTCCGACAAATACCATTCAGACGGACTGGTGTTGCACCGGTAATGTGACGAGTTGTAGTATCCACTTCCAACGTATTGCTGAAAAAAAAAAAAAAAATTGGTGGGAAAAAATAATACGTTATTGTTAAATGATGTTTTGAGAAGTAGTATCACGATAACCGCTGATGCCCACTACCATGCTTGAAGCGAATTCCTCTGGGATTCAGCAGATTGAAAAGCTATTGTCACGTCAAATAATAACCTGAGAAAGTGCCTTCAAAGCATTCTTCTAAAGGAAAATTTTAACTTGCAATTGACGGATTTCTATTTATTGAACATCTCTCGAATGTCTTAATCTCTTATAATGAGTGAAAATCGGAAGACCCCAATTTTGCCCTGTACAAATTGTGCGTTCCAACACTACGACTCGTTCCCAGGAAATCCTTCCGAAAACGAGACAAACAACAGGATCGTCAAAAAGCTGGCCACCAAAAGATACAGCACCGACCAAAACAACTAAAAGTTGCTCGCTGCATCATTTGGATGAACAGACTATAAAAAGTACGATGAATTTACAACTAATCCAAATGTAAAGGCGAAGTCTTCATTTTGCTTCCCCATCTCCCGACCGAAATTATAAAACATAACAAAAAGATAAAAAGCTGAATTATCTTTTGACGAAATTTCAACCGAACGTCGAGAAACGACATTCCCGTCGGAGATCGGAACTCCGACAAGGGTCCGACTCTTCGTTCCCAGTACCCCCTTTTTCTTCGCCAACTTCCCTATCGTAGATTGAATCTACGACGGCATAATCCATTCCCACTTCCCACGGCGCCCATTTTGCAATCCCGGATGAAAGCGTATCGAGGAATGTAATGCATGATATCCATTACAAGAATATCAGTATATCCAATCTCCGATGGGAACGCCGCTTCCAGACGTTCAACTGAAGGTGTCATCGAGAGATGATTTAGTTTTTTATTTTATCTTTTGTAATTTCGGTGGGGAGGGATGGGAAGGCAAGGCAAAGGCTTTACCTTTACACAAATAAGCGCTTATTTTGCGCATTTTTCTTTTTTTTTTTTTTTTTTGAAGAGTAAAGTGGACACAGATTATT